GTTGTTGTTTTCTTTTGCTTGAAATAATCCCATACTTTGAACACTTTCTTCTTCATCCCTCGCTATTTTCTCTCTCTTCCTCCATTTTGCAAACAGCTCCATCATAATCACGTCATGTTCACTTGATCACAGCGTTAGCGCGAAGTGCTGCGACAGTAATAAATGTTCATGTGAAACAGTGTGCTATATAGTTATATGGATTAAACGAAGCATCGATGCAAAGAATATGCGTCAATGCTTTTTAGTAATCTATGAATCGTTTCAGCCCCAAACTTGATAGTCACCATTATTCTCTTAAGCCTATGGCATTTTACCATGCATAAATTGGCCTAGCAGCTAGTGAACCTTTCCTCTCCTCACAGCTTAAATGACATATCATTTATACTTACTAATTTAATGTTATTTTCCCTGGTCTGTGCTTGTAAAATATCCACTGTGTCTGCATCTTCTAACATTATATCGTCTATATTTTTCTTCCACGGTTGAATTTCAGCGTTATGTAACCTAACGACTTGAGTCACATAGTTCACCCATCACCTGCTCTGCTTCATTCCACTTTGTGGAACACACACACACACACACACACACACGAAGCCCCTCAGTGCCCCCCCCCCCCCTCCAAAGCAGTCAACCTGGAGGAAACACTGCATTGCTGTCGCCTGCTGTTTAAAGTTTATAATGTTGGATTACTATTTGTTATTTCATGGGCAATTTGGGATTTTGGGGTAATGCATAATATTTAAAAAAAATGAAGCATTCAATTTTAAAAGTTCACTAAAAGCATGATGTTTCCTAATAGTCAGTAGTCAATCAGTAACACAGATTCAGTGTTATATAGGAGTACAGGTGGCACCCATGACCTTCTTCTAACTCTAAAACTGCCTTTGAATTAAACTTGGAATTTTAGCCGTTGATGTACTTGCCTTCATATTAACATAACAGTAATTTGTTGGAATTGCACATGCAAAATAAAAGTGCATTTTGGTGGTGGCACAATAATTTTTACCATAATAGTGTAATTATGAAATTAAAACATATTAACCTAACCTAACACTGGCGACTTGTCCAGGGTGTACCCGCCTTTTGCCGATGTCAGCTGGCATTGGCTCCAGCCCCATCTCGACCCTGTACAGAGGATAAGAGGTTGAAGATGGATGAATATTAACCTAATAAACTATTCCTCTGTTCAATGCTGATGTTACTATCCTCTGCTAATCTGACCCCTCAGATGACATCATCGAAGCAGTGGGCTTTAAATCGGGGTCGTCCACTCCTCAGAGGTCAGGTTCATCGGCCGGTCTCCTCAGACCCAGACTGAGCATCGACTCTGCAAGCCCAGCGATTGATCTGCCCCAGCTCAGCTCCTCTCTCCCTGGGTCGCTGTCCGGTAGCTCCCCTCTACTCACGCCACGTCAGGGATCACACACCATGGACTTCTTTGAAATGTGTGCCAGTTTGATCACCACGCTGGCACGCTGAGACCTGTCAACTCCAAACCTCGCTGTAACCTGTTTTTTAAGCCAGCCTGATCCGGGATGTAGGGAGTGTAGGTGTTCAGAGTGACTTCCTCTTTCTGTCTCCTCTCCATCTCTGTTCCGGTTGAATTATACTGGATGGGTTAATGGAAATGTGAAAAGCAAAGCCTGTCACCTCAGATTAAGGAGACATAGAGAGGAAGCCTTTCTCAGAAAGGCAGATAGATAGCTTCTTTTTTTCTTATTTTGACAGAGTCCTTGGGTCAGAGTCTTGAAGTTTAGACATCTGGCCACAGTTTGTGAAAACTGATCCTGGGACTGGAATCTGTGAACTAGCAAAGGCCCAGTAAAAGAGAGGTCACAATTCACATGGGAGTCAGCAAAGGTCAAGTTCTCTACCACTCCTCCCACAAATACCCTTATCAACTGCTGAAATGTCATCACCCACCATAACACTTAACGGTGGGAAATCCTGCTGCATTTTCCCCAGTCACTGATCAGAGGTCAGTTTAGCTACTTGTCGTATATATTTTGATTAAGGCACTGGTTGTTAAAACTGACATTAAATCTGTGTCTGAGGGAACATTAACATGTAAGATTTTATTTCAGGTTTTACAGTATATAGTTTGTAAAGAAACAGCTTTTGTTATTCATTTATATTATATTTATATACAATCAGATGATGTAGCTGAAAAGGTAAATAAAGGTATACCAAATAACAGACTTTATAGACCAGAAAGAAGATTATTATTTAGATATCAGATCCATATTTATTTCTGAGAGATTGTTTTTCGGCACTGTAGTTATTTTATTCTAGCACAGCATCGAGAGCTTTATCCTGATTTTAAGTAGAAATTGTAGAAATTTAATGAACCTAGGGAGACGGCAGGATAGTAGGACGATAATACTCGGTATTGCACGGTACTGACTGTGTCCTTCATTTAGTGTTGAAGCGCAGAAACACACCACCTCCCGTGGGTTTTCACAGCCACAATATTATCTGACTTTTTTTGCACAGCAATGGATGTATTTCAAAGATACTGTGCTTATTGTACTTTTCTCTATTGCGCATTCAGTAACTGTCGCAAATATGCAACACACATACACAGGCTCGTTGACACTTCAGTCTAGTCGTTAAAAATCTGAGCAGTTGTTAAAATGCTGCTCACCCATGCATGTACAGATTCATTCAGTCATTTTAAAAAAAGCAAATCTTCGTCAATTTTCAAAATGGCTACTAATCGTATTAGCACTGATAAACTTAATTAGCCCTGTGTCCATCCTGTAGGTGGATAAAAATGAGGGGATGATGATAATCCAGGAGGAGTAAAAGAGGCAGTGAGATGGTGTGTATCTGCTGCAGGACAGTGTAAGCCACAGAAACCTTTCTCCAGATGCCTTAAAGAATGCAACACAGTCATTCTGTGCATATATTTATGGAGAGTGTGTGCATGAGGATTTCTGCAGAGGTTTGTGAGATTTGTAGAAAGTGTGAATCAGTGAACAAAGTGACGAGGGTCAAAACATGATGCTTTGGTGTTTTTGTAGCTGTGTGGGTCTCCTCTGTTTAGTAGTTGTCTGTTCAGTCTGCACTTTAAAACAGACGCCAGGAGTTTGCGGATTTACTGTACCTGTTGTTTCTGTCCTACGTTTTGATGAATGCCTGTGTTATTTCTTTTACAAATGTTTAATGCATTGTCTTGTCAGATCGTACCAGGCATTGTGTATCAATGTTGTCATACAATATTTTTTCAAAATCTCTTCTGACTGAATGTAAAGTGGAAGGTGGCGCTGCTCAGATGAAGCCTCTCATCTATCTTTCTGTCTGGCTTTGTTCTCTCGGTTTTAGAGCAGTGTTGTTTTGATGGAGAGCAAAGAACTGTTGCCTTTCTGCTGTTCAGTAAAACACAGAGGTTGGAGGGGCGGTACAGACTTTACTTTAGACTGGTGTCACAAATAGGAAACCCCAAAATGGCCAATAATTAATATTTTTAATATTCTGTGATTATATGTAATTATTATTATATTTTAATCATCATTGTTATCTTCACTTGGGGCAAATGATTGGCAGAAGGGCAAAGAGGCAGGGGTTTGTGATAAAACTAAATTATTAGTATAAAATAAGAGTGATTACCTAATATTTGATTATAAGGAGGAGAATTTGGTAACGTTGAAGGTTCCCACACATCAGTCTAGACTATGACTCTTCAACCAGTTGCAATGTTGTTGACTGAGTACTTTGTTGGACCTACAATAATTTGATGTAGACTGAGGTTCTAGTTTGTTGCATCGTGTTTGAAATGGGGTCACTAATGTTTGCCTTATAAGAGCATTGTGAAGGCTTTTGGTCGATTTCTTGACAGTCTTTGTTACTCTGCTGACACCCTTTATTACATGTATGGTGTTTTTATGTCCTGTGAGGGGTTGCCTTTCCACTGAATATACTTTGATGTCAGGGAGACCCTCTGCTCCCTGCTGCAAGACACATGCAACTGCTCACACACAGCTTTATAAACACTAATCCATGTTGTTCAGTCAACCCTCTGTATTACACTCTATTGCTGTGTCTTAAATGACTTGTCCTCTGTATTGTGAGGTCACATCACGATCAAATCTGGTCTGATCCATTATGCATTTGTTCCTGATTCTGCTCTTGACAATGTAACATACTGATCAGTGAAGTACACTATCTTACAGAGGCCATGGGTTGTATTTATAAGCTCCTGATATAACCAATATTTGCTGTCAGATGTAGTACTGTACCATTACAACTGTATGCACCTACCAGTGGCATGTTAGTCATGTAAACTCTAATCTGTGTCAGAGCTGGGAAACACATGCCAGAGGGCCTAATCAATACAGACTTTCCGTGTTGTACCAAAGTGAGTATTTTCAACAGCAAGGCTGTGCGCTCTGTTTATCTGTGGTGGGGTTCTTATGATTACCGTAACCTTAAATACCCCAGTGTATGTCATTTGTGTGTGACATGTCTGCACTCGCACTGGTTATTGTGAAGGAATGTGTATAAGAGTGTGTTTCAGCGTGTGTGTGTGTGTGTGTGTGTGTGCGTGAATGTGACAGTGTGTTTCACTTGTCTCTCCTCGTCTCTGTCTGATTGGGGTTTGGATTTCTCTTGTTATGCACTGCATGATGTTGCTGTTATGATTTGCACTTTAATGAGTATTTATTGAAAAACAATAAACAAACACATAAAAGCAAAATGTTTTTGTCCTAAAGGCTTTTTTCAATTTGGAAATTGAGACGCATGCATACACACCCATCACAGAGGATTAGTTTACTGTTCCAAACAAAAATGCACCCTTAGATGTCAACAATATTTTACATGAAAATGACCTCAGGGGATCATCACACTACTTTCTTTTTCTGTAATACTTCTTATTCATCAGCTTGAGGGAAAGGCTGCACATAAAAGTGACACCTGCCACTACATAAAAACGAAATAAAGAAAATAAAGTTTATGGACAAGTCGCTCCAGAAGGAGAAAGTAAGACCATTAGCAACTGGTACTAGCAGAAACCTTTTTTATATTATATGTGTTTAAAACTTTCAGCATATAAATACTATGACATGAGTAGTTACATAAGCACTTCCATAATCTGTAATTATTTTTAACAAAATAATCAGGGTAAATAAAAGTAGAAAAAAATGCTCATGTACAAAAAAGGCACAATAATACAAAAAACTGACCAATATCAAGTAAATGTTTAGAGTTGGCCATGAAAACAATGTTAATCAGTCCTATAGATGCACATGTAGAAGAGGACAGAGCATGAAATGAATGAAAATATATCCCTTGTGGGGTTCAGGTGGCCACACAGAGACTTTTTAATTATTGCTGATGACCAAACCTAAAAATTGATTAAATCTTTGTTCATTTGAAGTTTATTAGATATATTGCTATTTATTCATTTGCTACCAACACTGTAAACTGGTAACAAGTGTGTAGGACATTCATTTCATCCAACCCTTGAAACTGCTGCATGTAGACCAAGATCCTCAAGGTGGTGTCTCAACTGGAAAAATACCTGGTGTGAGAAAAATCTATATTTCTGGTATTTGCATGGAAATTATGTAATTTTCCTTGTAAGAACCTCCAAGGTCACAGTACCCAGAAAGCGTCTGTGTGTCTGAAACAGTTTGCAAGTCCTTTCCTGGGATCAGCAGTCCTTGGTCCAAGGTTCAAAGTCACTCAGAGCCACCAGGCAAACTGTCCCTCACTGGTTTAACAGAGTGCTTCACAAAAAAAGTTCTGGTTGCTGAGATGGTGTATCGCTTGTGGAGAAAATCCACTTATCTTGCTCCTCTTGTAAATCATCATACTGATCCACACACACAGTCGCCACGTAAATAAGGTCACAATGCAGAACATGAAGTTGCCGTCACAGTATTAGGTGACTGGCACAGGTCACAGCTTGAAAAATAACAGAGGGCAAATCCTGTTCTGCTGTTCCAAACAGAAACACATAATGTCAGTATGTGAAGTGCACAGTGATGAGTAGTGAAAAGGCAGTCCAGGTGGTTCATCCTTACCTTGTTTTATGATAATTACTCCATGGTCAGGTCAGCATACAGGTCAGGAGGAGGTAAAATGATCATATCTGTTTGATCAAAAGCTACTTCCTGTGTTGAGCTCGCTTCAGGCCTGTGGAAAAAAAGATTTCAAAATCACACAACCTTTCCTCTCCCACCTCCCATTCTTTACTGGAGTAAAGTATTCAGGTGCTGCCACGTTGCCTAATGGAGCAGCAGGGACAAAACTTTGACCACAGATCTGATCCCATTGATAAATGTGAAGAGCACATTACAGTAAATCAGCAGCTCATTCTCCTTCCAGGACACAAGCCAATATAACTTCCTGGTTGGAGAGTCCCCTTTCTGTCTCTCTTTCTCTCACAGACAAAAATAAATTAAAATGTCTTTTCATGCTCAGCAGCCAAAAAGGAAGTAAACTTGTCTGTCTACAGGTTGCACAACATGTTCGGCATTTTTCTTTGTGTGTGTTTTACATACGGGTGAACTGATTCTTCATTCACAAGCACAGGACCTGAGATGGAAACAAAGCATTTAGGCATTAATTTCAAAATCCACTTTTCAAAGGCTTTATAATGGGAATGAATGGATCTAACCAACTACGAGCTACTGCTATTAAGCATTTATTATTTACTTTATAAAACAGATTTGTTTAATGATGTGCAACATCAACAACACCATTATACAAAATAAAATTATATCATATCATATTGGATAGTATTTATATATTGTAAATACATTCTATATTTCTATACAGAATTTCTATAGTTTTAGTATAGTTTTTGTGGGATTTTCAGGCATCACTTACTTGTCTCTGGTTCAGTGCTGTTGTAAAAAAAATGGAAAAGCAAAAAGTTAAACCGAGTTTGTGTGTGTCCCAACATGTGTGTGTATGTGTGTATACGACTGGTGCACCGCATGTGCACCATGCCTACCTGGCTGCTGGCTCCACAGGTTTGGGTGAATGGAAAAATGTGGACAACTTCTGAAGTGCTTCATTTTTTGTTCTGATAAAAAGACAAATACAAAATTAGTATATATACACATTAAAAACTGGTGGAGATTGACTGTAAGAATGACGCTGGTAAACTCACTGCACGTAGGAGCCATCTGTGTAGATATCACTGCGACTGTGCTGATGGTTTATACTAAGATCTTTATTTCCTAAGAAAATAAATAAACAAGACAGATACATATAAAGCACCTTCATAACAACAAACCTGCAGCATAAATTATAGCATAATGTCACCAGGTAACCAACTTTGGTATATATATATATATATATATATATATATATATATATATATATATACCAAAGTTGGTATATATATATATCTTCCTGTTTACTCAAACAACCTGCTCATCCAATCACGACTGTGCATCAGCATTTTAAGTATGTAAACAGGGCTTAGAGATCACCTGCCCTACACTAGCTGTAACAACCTGAAAAACCTTGATAATAAAAAAGTAGGATGTTTGTTTTATTTCTTGTATATTGTATCGACATACTACAACAACACATGGAGGAGATACAACAGAGTTGAAGTAGTGTTAATAAAGAAGACAGGTTTGGAATTTCTTACCCATGTCTGGCATTGAGAATGTCCTGGTGTGACCCCTGCAGAGGAAAGACATTGACCATTGGACTTCAGAAAACATATAACGCTTTGCCACCAGTGACTAATCAGAGATCACTGTCAGCTGTGCTGCTCATATCTCTCTGTCTCAAAAAGTAGAATACATTGAAAATCAACAATACTGCCACATAGATTCACAGACTTACATTGGAGCCAGTGGATTTGCAGTGTCAGGGAGGGGGGAGAGAGGTTCGTCGTCGTCTACGGTCCACTCCTCACTATCATCTGTGACTGTACACATCAACATCAAAATGCCGCAGATCAACTCAAATATATATGCTGTTGTTATGAATAAGAACAGGAATATACTTACAACTTTCTTCTGACGGTGGATAGTGCTCCGAGTCCCTGAGAAACACGGCTGTAAGTCACCCTTTTAACTTGACGGTGTAATGCACAATGAGTGAGAAGCTGCATAATGCTTGTTTTGTCTGTATGTGCATAAATACCTGATCCTCGTGCTGATAGCCTCTGCCTCGAAAACATTGCTGTTGCGGTTGTTTGTAGCCTTCTTCCCCAGCTCCAACATCTCCTTGATGTCCAGCTCCACGTGGTCCACTGCAACATACCCATCTGGAAGACACCCACAAAGTAAGCGGTTGTCAATCAATGACTGCAGCGCATCAAGTTGCTTTTCGGTGCAAACATTTTTTTGGTTCCAAGCGGCCCAGAATTTATACAGTTGTTTGTGTGTAAGGGAGGTGCAAAAATATAGTAGCTTCCTCGTGTGATTTCCATTGTCTTCGTCACACTCAAGGTGTAATGCAGTGTGTTCACGTCTTAACAGGTTAGAGAAAAGAGTTCATGAAACTACGACCTTTCTTAATGTACCTTCCCTTCTTTATGCACCCCTTTACCCCTGAAGTGAACACATTGCTAATAACAAGTTATTTTTGTTTTGTTTTTAACTCACAGTTGTTGCTGCTGTCCCTGGCCAGCCATTTGCCTTTGGGACAGTTGGTTGTTCGGATGATGCTGATGTTGTCACCGCTCTTGACGGGCAGATCATTCTTACGTCCCTTGGTCGTTACGGTTACTTTTGCCCGGTACATGGCATTCTCCTGTCCTGTGATCTAACAGCAAAAACCACATATACACAGTATGTACATATAAACACACACACAAAAATTGTTGAAGCACACACTACTTGCTACAGGTTAGGTGGAGACAGAAACACTTTTCTCCTGAAATGTGATCGGTATTAAAGCATAAGAGAGCAATATTTTGAGAAATTCCATCTGTTAAAAGAACTTAACACTAATTAACAATAATCCTAGAAGGACATACGACAAATCTTGCCAACAAGTGTATGTCCCTGTGTCACAACCTGAGGGAGAGCGAGTGACTCATTGAACTGTTACACTCAGTGTTGCTGCATGGGAGGTTAAATCTTGTTAATTCTTCTTTGTAGTTTACGTTCTATCTGAATTTGTCATTTTGTTGTTGACTGAATGGTCAGGATAACATTCATTCTTGTTATGTTACGTTAAAAATGTAAACTTTTGCTGCAAACCACTTTGGCAACATTGTTTAACCTAAACATTCATGCCAATAAAGCACATTGAATTGAACTGAATTGAAATTGACTGTGATAAATATGACATACACCTTTTAATAGACCTTTTCACGGCAGACATATTGACATGTCAGGAAAAGGTGTAAATAATAACTTTAAAAATGTCTGCTTTCCACTTAAGTGAGGTCCTGGCATTGTGCTTGCAGTCTGACTAGCATAGCTTACTGTGACACTTAATGGAAACGAGCCATCATTAATGTGTGACTGTGACTACTGTGACAAGTGAAAATGTCAGCTGTGAGAAATGTTTGTCTTTAGGTGCTTCATATTTAGTGACATAAACAAAGTAGCTAGCCAACAGTTATCTATTTCCTCGTCCTGCAGATACTGAAAAACATTACATTCAAAAAAAACATGTTTGAATGCTTTGAGGGCCTGCTCTGTAGAGCTGAAGGGAACCACAGAGTTGGTTAAATAATTATGGGGGTGGTGACGGCACAGTTAGATAAGACACATTCCTTCGGTGTGAGAGACCCGGGTTTTAATCCACTGTGAGACACCAATGTGTCCCTGAGCAAGATACTTAACCCCTAGTTGTTCCAGGGGCGTGCGATCTCTGACATAAATAGCAATTGTAAGTCGCTTTGGATAAAAGTGTCAGCTAAATTTATAATGTTTAATTATAATAATAATAGAAATTCTCTGTGGGTTCATCACTAAGAGTGACCCCATTTACATCGTAGTCATGTGATGCATTGGTAATATAAAAAAATATATTATAGCCGCTTTAATTATACTGGATGGCATGTTATTTGGCTTCATTGAAGTTATTTAGAGGAATGTATTGCCAGTTCTTACATAACTACAATGTGTACTATTCTTTCTTTTTGGTCAGGGATATTGGTCTAGATAAAAGTTTTTGAACACAAGCGGGACCTGATGGATCCTGGAAAAAGTCATGTTCCTTTGTTATAATATGGTAAGAATCTATTGCAGGAGTGAAGTATTATCACCAACAATGAAATGGATGTTGACACAGATTCCTTTTGAGCCTGCACATGTTGCTCAGCTCAACTCTTGCTCTGGGAGGAATGAATCCAGACAGGTTTGTATGCCAAGACATAACCCCACCCTCCTTGGCTGCTCGTTCAACTTCCATAGCGCCCTCCTCAGTCAAAACAACACCACTCACTTTGAATTTCTTCTTCATCTCGTTTTCCTTCTTTTCCCTTTCTTTCTGCTCTTTCTTTTCCCTTTCTTGTTTCTCCTTTAGCTCCCTCTTCTCCTTTTCCAGGCGCTGCTTCTCTTTCTTTTTCAGCTCCTTCTCATCCGGCCTGTCTGCAGCAGCTTTTTTGTCGCTCCTGCAGAAGAGAGAATGAGGGATATCGTCTTGTTTGAAAGGGACTCCTCGCCGCATGTTTAAATGGCAGAGGGGATTATGAGGGCTACAAAGGCAGACCAAACTCTCATCACTAACAGTGTCTGGATGATGATAAAAAGAGAACAGAGAAAAAAATAAAATAAAGGCCTTACTTTCCAAATCTGCCCGTCTTGGTTTTCTCTTCATTCTGTAAACACAAACAAAAAGATATGGCTTAATTAATTTTACACTCCATCATTAGATTCTCTGACAGATGAGCAACAATTGTTTTTTTAAATTGAAAAGGGACTTTATTCTCACAAAGCTACTTACTTTTTCCTGTGCTGCCTCAGCATATGGATCTGTGGAAAATGTAAAAAAGGTGCTAAAGTCAATGAAGAATCTAAGGGATGTTCACAGCAGGTAGAAAGATTATAGTATTCTGTTTTGATGTAGCCCTCAAGATAGACTCACACAACATTATTTATGTATGTATTATAATTTAACACAATACTATTGTGTTTGCACTTCTGTCATTTATATTTGTGGTTAAATGTTAATGCTAAAATTTCTCTTAAGTTTAATGTCACACTTCATCATACAGCCAAATACAGTAAACTTAACGAGTTCACTTGGTGAGCGATTTAGATATCTTATTGATATAAATGAATTTGATATGACGATATGCTGTAATTGTATCTGGTGTTCAAATGGTCTAATGTCTGATTGTGTTAACTGAAAAGAGTCCTTACTCTTTGGTGGTCCTTTGCGTTTCTTGCCACTTTCAGTTTTCTCTTTCTTTTTGGTGGCAGACGTGGGCATGTCCTCGTAGACATTTTCTGTACTCTTGTAAACACCGTTGTTGACGTCATCTCGGAGGCTGTGCGAGTCAGAGGGAAGAACAAATGGGAATCAAAACCAATTATCCAGAGATGGGCAAAGTATTTCAAAGCAAAGAGAGTAGAACAGTTCATGTCTCTTACCCTGCTGGTGGTGGAGATTCCTGAGCGGTAGGAATGGAGGATTCAAGTAGTGGATTGTCTTGGTCTCCAAATGCTGGTGCTGCATCGACCTCAGCTGGAGTAGTTATCCCGTTACTGTAAAACTCTGGCAGGTTCTTTGCATCTGGACTCGTGTTCTCCTCATTCCCCCACTCTGACGCCTGCAGCTCTGGAGAATAAGCATCTGAAGCCACATCGTCAAACTCTGTTGTGTCAGTCTTGGAGAATTCAGGAGGAACAGGGATCTGTGTAGCTGAGGGGGAACCACAATGTGAAAACAATGTTAGGGGGGCTGTTATAATAGGCGGTTTCCGTTTGGCTTCACAAAGTTTTAAGTGTAACAATGGTGGCCACACCATAACATTGCTCAGAAGGAGGAGGGGTGAATTCACTCATGTTGACAGATGCAGGACCCACAGACTCAAGGTCAGGGAGGACCTTCCTGGGTGGAGGAGGTGGAACCACCAGGAGCTCTGGGATAGGTCGCTCCTCAGCGATACCCTCCAACACTGGAGAGGCTTGCCCTGCAAAGAGTTATCATGTTGAATGTATGTGTATCATGATACAAATCTTAATGTACTTCTCTATAGCTAGCTTGAGAGCCATTTTCATTGTCATTTGAACACAATGAAAAAAAACAGTAAAAGCTGCAGCTGAAACACCTGAAAGAAGTTTCCAAACACAGAAAGGGAGAGAAAACAAGAGCCAGCTGAGTGGAAGAATTTGATTAGTGAGGAAACCAAACCGAACGGAAGCTGTTGTGAAATAACTCTGCAGAGCGGAGATAATGCAATTATGAGTGAAAAATCAGAACAGCTTAGCTGCAGACCTTACTTCAAAAAATTTTCTAGTCTTCTTTGTATTGTTTCTGTGACTTTGGTTTTCAAGACACTTGTCTTGTAATCTAAAGAACTTGTAAAGCACTCTGTTGTAGAAAGGTGCAATATAATTAAATTATAATACTTTTCTTCCTCTTAATGCAAACTATCAACAGTCCAACTTGTATTCAAATTTGAGGACTCTTTGGCTTATAGTGTCAAAACTGCTGTTCAAAGTTAGGATAAATATACATCCGTATTACTCCACCGTTACTTCATGAAATAGTAAATGGCTTGAGTTTGTTCACAAAGCTACATGCATGGACACCTGCACGTGCGCATTTAAAATGCTGTGTGTAAATAAAGTCCTTGTCAACACTGTCTTCTCAGTCAGTCAGTTTAACAGACAGTGTTTGTCACTGCGGCTCTCCGTCATAGTGATGGACATGCTGCTGTCATTGCTGACATACCTCTGCAGCTCTGCCCTGCCTGCTGCTCAGTTCTGGCACAAAGGAGGAATGTCAAGACTGTTCTTGTGTATGTAAGTGTGCCATGTTTTTAAACCCCAGTGGGGACTTAAACCGGAATGCACACTAACCGATGGGGACTCGTGTCACTGTGGGGACAAAAATTGAGGTCCTTATGGATAGAGACTGCTTTTTGGCTAGGGAATGCAGAACGTCAATGACTGGTCCCCATGAAGATAGTGACACATGGCTGTGTGTGTGTGTGTGATTATATCTTTAAAGCTGCTTCTTCTAACCAACACCTGAGGCAGCCCTGTGGCATAAACATTACTAAACTGCACATACCAGATTTTTTGTATAGCTGAAACCCCACACTAACAAATTATGTTCTGCAGCTGCACAGTATGGACAGTACGATGTCCTGATCATGAGATACGCTGGTCTGTACTTCAACACAGAACGAAAATCCCAAAATAATAGTCCACAAGAAAGCAAGAAACAGAGAGGTGAAGAGGAGGACTTTACGGGGATTAGTCCAGACTTACGGTGGCCAAAGCTGTTAACTTGTGCTGGTTTCGGTGAGAGGGTTTTCCCTGCCCGGTCCTCATAATCAATAGGCGGCAGCTCTGGGAGAGAGCAGGTAGGACTCTGAGGTGGGGCAATCTCTTCTAGAGGTGGAGTGGTGGAGTAGGATGTGGTGGGTTTTGCCTGCAGGCTGAAAACAGATTCTAAGATGTTTTTCAATAACAGTTGACTAAATACTATAACTGAAATGCAAATTCAGCCTTCATCACTCAAAAAATGACTTTTGGTACAGAACTGTGCATTGCATACTCTGCACTGATAAAGTTGTGTTTCTTTTACCTGGTGGCCTTCTTACGTGCCTTCTCCAGAGCATTGAAGATTCTCTGGTCAATCGAAATCCTTTTCTTGTCCCCCGCCCTCTCCAGGGCTGAGAGGGCTGAGACAGGATGCTCAGCTTTGAGAGATGATGAAATGGATGGAAGGTCTATGACTGGAGGAGGGGGCGTCTCCACTGCAGCTATGTGTACAGCCTCTATACCAGCCTCAGCTGCAATCTCAGGATAAGGAGGTGATGGAGAGGGAGCGGAGGCCACTGGAGGGGGAACTGAGATGGCACGACTGGGCGGAGGAGTTGGGACAGCGCTGGGTGGGATTGGGATGATCTCATTTTGGCTGGCAGGCCTGGAAATGGGCAGGGCAGGAGTTTCTATCTCAGGTGGTGTTACACTCTCTGTTGGGACTTTAGGGGTATCAGGAATAAAGGCAGGAGGTGGAGTGAAGTCAGGAGGGGCAGGGATAGTGAAGGGCGCGGGAATTTCCTCTGCAGCACTGGAGTCAGGCAAGGTGGGGATGTCTGATAGGAGGGCTTTTAGTGCAGAGATTTCAGGCTCTGGTGGCGCATCACTAATGTCAGAAGGTACTGGGATAAGTGGAGCTGGTCCAGTAATGTCTGAGTTGGAGGCGTCTAGGATGGGATCCGCCGTGACCTCGAATGAATCTCTTTTTGATGACATCTTGAAACCCAGGAGGCCCTTCTTCTTTGCTGTGGTGGATTTAGGTGGAGGCGTGGCTTGCACCAGCTCTGCAGTGCTCTCCTTCTTGTCTTTACTTTTGTCTTTCTTCTGCTTCTCATCTGCTGAATCCTCAACAAGCTTCTCTTTGCTTCCTTTTGTCTTGTCTTTACCTTTTTTCAGCTTCCCTTCACTCTTGTCTTTTCCCTTAGAGTCGGCCTGGATGAGAGGCCTTTTGCTCATCTTCTTCTCATCCTTGAAGACCACTCTGGGGGCCATCACTGTCTTCCCTTCCAGGCTCTGGTTAATATAGGTGATTAGGGAGGGGTGTGCTCCTGCAGGGAGGGTGTGAGGGGGGCTGTGGGGAGGAGGGACAACCTTTGGTTTCTCTGTGAGAGCAGGTTTGATCCTGGGTTGTTTCAGGAGGTGTTCCTGGTCCTGGAACTTGGCCCTCAGGGCCTTAAAGTCCATTGTGTCCTCCTGGTGAAAGGATCACACAATGCAAGCCTGAGTTGCAATACTGCTATTGTGCTGCTAATTGTGTGTTGTCATCATTAAAGATAGGGTTCTGCTTAGCTAACATGAAGAATGAAATCATGGCAATGTATCACCCTTCACAACACAATGATGGTTTTATTTTGTTTATAATTGCATTATGTGCATAATCTATCAGTCTTTCTGTATAGTTGAAGAGAGAAAGTAGGCAGACTTGATTTATAGTCATCTGCCTAAATCAGGAGAGTTTCAACACACACACTACACAGGAGGCTGGAATTTGTGTAATAAATGTAGTTGCCTGACAATTACTCTCCACAGTACAAACACTGAATCCGTCACAGCTTATTAAAGATTCATATGAAGTCCTTATGGCAGGAAGGAGAGTTACACATGTTAATACCATATTAAATATTATAATTGCAAATAGAATGGCTATAACATAATAAATGACCGTTAAATACACCTACCTTCAGAAGGATCTGGATGTATAAAAATTGCAACATACCTGATCCATTGTGCTTTTAATTATTATGTTCTTAGTGAAGTAGGTTACTTCTTCAGCCTCTCATTATGTGTCCGATGAAAATTCAACATTAACAAAAACTTCCAACACTTGTCACAACTCTGCGTGTTTCTCCTCAGCGCTGATCCAGAGAACTGTGCGTCCCATGAGCACAGGAGGTGGTTTCAGTGGAGGAATGAGGTTGAGTGGGAATACTCACACTGATCTTATACAAAAACTGCCCAGCTCGTCAAACGGGTCTGCCCCATATAACACCGACTCCCAGCAGCTTGTGTATTTTTTTTCTATCCTTCAGGAATGTTGCCGGGCTGGCACATATGTGACTCACTGTCATAAACCTTGTAGCTGGAGCTGTTTTGCTATGTGTTACATTTCTACTATGATATCTTTTTTAAAAATAGGTACAGCAAGCCTTTATCTTTGTAAAGCTGTCTATATTGTTTGTCATTGGGAGAAGTCATAGTAATGTATCATTAGACGCAGTCTGTTCTCTGTACGTTACATTTAATGTTGAGTAAAAGTAAACAGAGGAAAGGGAAACAAAAGAGGTCGGTCAACATTCCAGGTTTGTTACACAGAACACAAGTATTTCAACAGGTATGTGTGATATCACCACATGCTACAGGCACGTAGTATTCAGGCAGGTCTTATCCATGCCTTACGCCATCTTGAGCTTGTACTGACAGGTGTGTCAAAGACTCCGCCCAAGAGCTCAGAGCTCACATTGTTGCTCGTCGCTGTATGACTTACAGGCCTTGGTTTCCAGGCTACATGGTCAGTTTTGTCATACTGTACTTTTAAGAGAGGATCTGTTCACTGTTTATTTGGCTGTTTTTTAAAACATAAACCCACTGGTGTGGCCTGGATTGTAACATATTGGTAGACTAAAACACATTAAAACTGGACAGGATGAGAAACTTATTCTTAAAGGGTCGGTTCACCCACGGTTCATACACATTATGTGGGGTGGCAAAAACCTCACAGATGAGTATCTCAAAACCTCCTCAGGTAATACTGAAACGAACTGCATTGTCAGATAACACGGTGGGAAAGTGAGAAAATGTGTTTTGTTGTTGTGTGTGTGATTTGGGTGAACTGACCCTTTAAAAATATCAACAGAGGTTCAGGTTGTCCTGTATAATATGGAATTAACAATGTGTGTTAAAGTCAGTTTTCCTTTTCCATGGGGAGGATGGGGAAAGCAAGGCAAGAGAAAGAAGTCCTTGTTTGTAGTTGGTTTCAGCGCAGCAGAATGTGACATAAAATTACAACAAAATACTGTGGCACTTGCTTTACATTAACTAAAGACCCACTGGGGTCACCTCTGCCACGCACACACCATTAGGCGCACTCTCTCTTTCACACACAAAAACCCAGATCACAATTAAGACACAAGGAATATCATGTCATTTGGGATGTGTTTATTTGTAACAGTAATACATGGTGGAATACGTAAATCAAGAGAGAACCAAAAATCATCTAAAAACCCACTGTAGAATGTCATATTCATAAAGATAAAAATAATGTGTCAATTTACATTAAGAAACTGTTAGCTGAGGTAAAGTTAAAATCTAGAAATGTTATGTACTCAAACAGCAACGTTTCCCTTTTAATTCAACTTCTTTGCTCATCTTCTAGTTGTCAATTTTTTTTTGTTAATCAACATCGAAGTCCAAAAGAGTTCTCAGGTGATATGGGGACTCTGGCCATAAAATAGGGAGTCATTGGCATCACAGTTGATGTAGTTGTAGCAGAAGATGCTGCGGTCCACACACAGACGCAGCAGTTTGGCACCTGACGAACAGACAGACAGATGGGCAGAGCATCGCTGTATCTCAAAGACTATTCTAGGGGAACGCAATGTAGGGGAGAAGCATTCTGGACTACAGTGAGTGTGAGTGTTTCTGTTGCCTGCAACATAGAGTTGGAATATAGCTTTGTGGTACAGAAACACAGGGCTGTGGTGCATACATAGGCTTTGGGTAACATAAACTGCAAAAGCTAATTTGTTTGGGCCACAACAATGGAAGGTAGTGGGACTTTAAAAGACAAATAGGGGATATGTGTGGAGCTGGAATTGGGGTTAATAAGCGAGGTTAAGACAAAGACCTACAACATCCATGCATAAGAAAAAAATCAGAGGGCAAAATAAGGCAACAAAACATAGTGGGAAAACAGGAAAAAGAAAACAAATGTTGGTATTGCTTGGGTTAACGTCAAGAGTTTGCATAACTGAAGCCTTCCTATTTTATGGCACAGAAGTCCGGTGGACAAAATGGTTGTTGTTGTCATTATTTACAAAATGAGTTTGGCAAACCAACGATCAGATGCCTTAAAGCCATGTTAACTCTATAACTCCTATAGAGCTGACCCCAGCGGCTTGATTGACTTATAAAATAAAAATTCAATTTTTCAATTTCCTCTTCTTTTTTTTTAATTGGTATTGTACAAAAGCTATAGAGAATGAACAGTTCAATCACAGAATCTGTTTGACTTGCAACACTTCCCTCTCAGGGTCCTTTCCTCAGAATGTCTGGTCCTCTGGCCTCTGTGTGAGTCTGTCTGCGAGGAGAGACATTTGGCAAATTACTGTGTGTATGCATGTTAGAGAGAGTGAGAGATGACTGAGTGTGTGCGTGTGTGGTGAGCATATATAGGCTGCCGTGTGCACGGCTTGTGTGTAGTAGGTGTGTGAGTAGCTCCCAGAGAGTCTGTTTCTGCATAGTGATCCAGCAGACACTCACAAAGAATGGGGAGAAAACGCCCCAACCAACAAACCAATCAGAAGCAGTGATCCCAGTAACGGACCACCCCTGATAGGCCCGTTAGAGTCTAGCTCCTCCTGTGAGATCTCCTCGGTACTGATGCAAATTCTGTCAGTTAAAACGAAAAATGATCATTCTAATCCTGATGAGTGTGTGAGGGTGTGTGTCGGAGACAGGGAGGCACTGCTTGATTCAGTCCCTCCTTGGCAGCACAGTTTCTGGCCACACACAGGAGGCAGAGGAAGGAGGGTAAGGAGCGAAGACAGAGAGGAGGAGCGAGGGAAGGAGGGTGAGAGGGGAGGAGCAGGTTATGTCTGTAAGGCTGGGTGTGAGTCGCCACAGGGAGAAGGGAGGAGAGGAGAAGACAGCTCAGTGGAGGGAGAATCCGTCTCAGTGATTGATATCCCTTCTTGTCTGGGGTGAATGACCAAGAGAGCTCTCTCTCCTCAGGAGGAGAGCAGACTGCAGAGAGGAGGAGGAGGAGGAGCACAAGAGGAGGAGGAGGAGGAGAACAGAGGGAGCATGGAGGCTCCTCCTGGGAGGTTGTTAGCCGAAAGAGGTTATGAAGAAGGGCTTGGCCAGGCAGGGAGATGTGTCAGAAACGCACAGACACACACACACACACACACACACGCTGTGAGGGCTCTCCTCCTGTTCTCTCAGCGATGGTCAGGTCTGTCCTCCTGTGTGTCTCTTTATTTCTTCCCTTTGTTGATCTGGGCGTAGAGAGGGTCCTTCCCCTTCTGTTCATGAGAGAGAAAAACATCAGCGACTTCACACAGCTTTTACTTTTCTCTGTTAAAACCTGATTGGATTTGTAATGTCAACAGTTCATCTGAATAATTAAAAAGGGAGGAGCTGAGTTTCTGATTCTGATTCATTCTCTCATCCGACTGAACTGCAAGTATCACCAACCTGCAAGCCCTGACTAGTAAGTTCTGGCTCTGCACAGGTTTGTTAGGTCCTGTACCTACCATGGCCACCAGGTTGCAGTAGCACACTGCTTTGGAGGAGACGTCCAATCAGTTCTCCTCCAAGCCCCATTCAGAGCTCTCACTGAAAAATTCACCTCTCACTCACGACACGAGTTATTGTCGTGTCGTGCACGCACATGCATATTCTCTCCCACTCCGGGCTCCCCCCAGGACCAGTGTGAATCAGAGGTATAAACTAGTGCCTTGAAAGACCAGTTATGAGTCATCATGTCTGTATTTCTCTCCAACTGAGCTTGAAGACAACAGTGGATGATGGAACACCCTGCAGTCAGAGCACCAAGTCTGCTGCAGTCCCTCACAATGGACCAGTTATTATTGTACACATAATTACAGCCAGCCTCTCAATCGGCCGTGCGGACAACTTGATTGGAGACTACTGACTGGCCTATTATACTCTAGAACACTACTCTCACTCAGAGGTGCAGAGAAGTGTGCTTATAGTTTGGAGTCTACCAGCAGCTTCCACACAAGGATACGGTACCTAATGTTCATATAATCTGATGAAAACTGAGGATGTGAGGACAGCTGGAGTGATAGCAATTTCGGCTGATGTGAGAAAAGGTGCGACATTCTCTCAAGGCCTAAAGAATAAATGACGTTCCAGTAAGAGTCTAGCAACCTTCATCATATACAGCAGTTTCTGCTGCTGTCCAGTTAAATTATATGACATGAAGTGAATTTTAGAGACAACATGATGGGACAAACTAATGCAAACACGCATCTACGTGAGAATGTTTAACTTGAGCAAAAATATGATGATTATCCTGAGCTGTATGACTCCACTTCCGTAATGTAGAGTCAAGAGGAAGAGGTGACGGTCTGGAAGAAAAGACGGATTTCTGACAAATTTCTTTTGTTTGCCTGAGCTGCTCAATTTAAACATACACTATACACTTCACACATGCATGTCGTTGCAATGTAGAGCTGAAAAAAATGTGATGATTCATTGGTTAGTCGATCGACAGAAGATTCAGTCTTCTTTTATAAAAAAGCCCCCCACTAAATGTTCTCTGGTTCTAACTTCTCAAATGTGAGGATGTTGATCCCTTTCTTTGTCACAGAGTAAGTTAAATGTCTTTTTGTCTGTCAGACAAAACAAAAATTGTAATGGCCATTTTTCATTATTTTATGGACAAAACATTTAATTGATTAATTGAGGCAATAAGCAACAGATTTACCAGTAATGAAAATAATGACAGCAGCCCTTTTAAAGTTGATGTTCAAAACGTCTTGTTGTGCACTGGTTAGTTGTGGCCAAAACAGTAAAAGCAATTCTGTGTTGAAATTTGCACAAATCAAGCACAATCTGACTCATGTTGTATCTGAATACAGCTCTCTCATGGGACAGAGTAGTATCTGTGAGAAGAAAGAAGACTTTCTTAAAAAGCTGCTTCACGCTTAAAATCACACCAAAACCTGACCTGCATAATCTGG